CCCCTAATTCTCCCTATTAAACCTAAACCCAACTTCTATACCTCAGAAGATGGCTAAAGATGTACTGAAGGGCTCCTTTCTCTCCCTTTCACTGTGTCTCTTTTTTGTTTGGCATATGGGGGTGAGTGGCTAGACCTAACTTGGGACTCCTGGATTTGGGGCCTGGGGTCTAAGAATTCAGTTTCAATAGCATCTCTCTATAACCAAATTCCTAGAAAGACTATTTGGAGCCATAAGAGGTCTGGAGGTGCAGGGCTTCTCCTTTCCTGATTCCTAGTTCTATCACAAAATAATACAAAGAAATAATTCGAGGGGAATCTTCCTGGGACCTACCATCACTCTCAAGAATGGGTAACTTTGAAGCACCAGTAGCTCACACCAGTAATCCTAGCTACTCAGGGGACTGAGAAGTAGCTCACACCAGTAATCCTAGCTACTCAGGGGACTGAGATCTGAGGATTGTGGTTCAAAAACCAGCCTGGGCAAAAAAAAAGCCATAGGATTCTTATTTCCAATTAACCAGCAAAAAAGCCAGAGCTGGGACTCAATTGGTAGAGAGATAGCCTTGAGAAAAAAAGCTGAGCAAAAGCATTCCAGCTCTGAGTTCAAGCCCCATTATGATCACAAAAAAGGAGTATATTTACAAAGTTGACTTTCAAGTACTAGATTAATGTGATAGATAGAGCATTAAGAAGAAAAACTGATATGAAGCAAAAATAATAAATGTCAAGCTAGAAGATAAATGGAAACTCAGATAAAGATCAGGTTTGGGGAGAAAGGCATAAGGGAAAGAAAAGATACAAATTTTCACCCTAATCTATCTTTTAAATATATAAAGGTGGGGGTTTAAACAATAGGATAAATGAGTTTGGATTGGAAAATAGAGGAAAAGATAGCCACTTTCAGTACTAGAGCTTGAGTTCAGGACTTGGATACTGTCCCTAAGCTTTTCCCCTTAAGTATAGCACTCTACGAACTTGGGCCACTGCTCCACTTCTGGGTTTTTTGGTTGTTAATTGGAGATAAGAATCTCACAGACTTTTCTGCCCAGACTGGCTTTGAAATAAGATGCTTAGTTCTCAGCCTTCTGAGTAGGTAGGATTACAGGTTTGAGCCTTTAGCACATGACCAGTTTTCAACACTTACCTGAGTGTGCATATTGAATTATGTAACTATGGAATTACAACAAAAAGAGAATGCTTTCCAAAGTTCAGAAGCTATGTGACTGTTATGTAAACCCAAAGAACAATGTAAGCTACAGAAAGCTCAACCAGTAAAACCACAGCTTTGGACAGTGTCGGCTCTCTAAATTGGAGTAGCTGGGCTCAAGGAGACTGTTGAGTATGTTTCTAGACTAGTACAGAAACAAACTCCTTTTAAAAATAAATTCAATACTTGCACTTGGAAAAGAGCTGTAGAACCCCCAATTCACTTAAAATTAAGTATACTTTCCATAAAGTGTCAGGTTACTATTGGAAGCATGTGGGTTCAAAAACAAAATTTTAAATGGAAAGGATGCATGGGAATAGGGTGGTTTTGTTCTTAGTTTCTAACAAACATTCAGAGACTCAAAATGCTGTCAAGAGTCAAAAGCCCTCCAGAGCTGCCTCTGAACCTGGTTTGTGCTGGCAGAGCCAGTGAGGCAGACTCTGGTTGAATTGCCAGCAATGGTTGAACTGTCTATGTCCTGGGTGGCTGGCCCAGCCCTCTCCTCTGGAACTAGCTGCAGAGACTTGGGAAATTACCAGGCATCATTGGCTCACACCTGAATTCCTATCCACGAAGGAGGCTGAGATCTATGGATGGAGGTTCGAAGGCACTAGGACAGAAAAACCTGTGAGATTCTTCTTTCCAATAAACCATCCAAAAAAGCTGGACTGGAAGTGTGGCTCAAGTGGTACAGCACTAGTCTTGAGTGGAAAATAGTCAAGCCACTAAGAGGGCAAAGTCTTGAGTTCAAGTCCTTGTATTGGCATTAGATAAATAGGTAGATAGGTACGTAGGTAGGTAGGTAGATAGATAGATAGATACATAGATACATAGATACATAGATAGATAGATAAACATGGACTTGGGACATTCTCTTGCTTCATTTGAAGTATGATAAGAATGGCAATAATAAATATTTTTATGTTTGTCTGATAACAAGACCCCAAAACACCTACACAGCTAGGTCCCCTTGGCTCACCCTTGTAATTCCAGCTACTTGGGAGGCTGATCACTGTTCAAAGCAAGCTTCAATATGCAATTAACCAGAAAATAAAAGCCAAAAGAAGTCAGAACTGGAGGTTTGGCTCAAGTAGTAGATTACTAGCCTTTAACAAAAAAAGCTAAGGGACAGCACTCAGGTCTAGAGTTTAAGCTACAGTAATAACACATACACACACAAGCAACACAATTTGGTCTGGAATAGGTGCTTGTTAACAGTGTCATTCTTTTGTTCTAAGAGGTCTGAGCCTGTTGGGTGAGTTTGCACATTTACATAACAGCATCATTCAAAAATATTGGATCTAACTGGGTGCTGATGGCTCATGCCTGTAATACTAGCCGTTCAGGAGGCTGAGATCTGAGGGTGTGGTTGAAAGTTAGCCCTTGCAGGAAAGTCTGTGAGACACTTATCTCCAATTAACCACCAGAAAACCAGAAGTGGAACTGTGGCTCCAAGTGGTAAAGCACTAGCCTTGAACAAAAGAGCTTGGGGCAGTGCCCAAGCCCTAGTTCAAGCCCCATAACCAAAAATACTGAATCTAACCTAATTGAATCATGAATTCCCAGCAAACTCCCTGGAGCAGTATGTTCTCCACTGCTATAATTTGACTTCAGCCTTCTTCCAGACCACAGGTCCGCATGTGACTAGGTGGTGTAAGAAAGCATTATCAACAATCAGATCAGCACAGCACACACTTAGTTCAAAGCTAAATTTTTCTATTAAATTAGTGGGTTACAGGGCAGACATGTATTTATTAGTGAAGGATAATGCCATAGTGTCTGTTTGAGAGTTCCAGTTTTCCATGTCTTTGCCAGCACCTAGCCTTCGTCAGTTCTTTCAAGCCTAGCCTCTGGGAGAATACAAGGGCTTTTTCGTTGGATATTATCTTACAATTTTCTGAGGACTAATGATGTTGAGTACACGTGAGACCCTTGGCTACTTGTATGAACTGATTTTAAAAATCAGTCTGGGCTGGGAAGGTGGCTCAGTAGTAGAACACTTGCCTTGCATGCCTGAGGCCCTGGGTTCGATTCCTCAGCACCACATAAGCAAAAAGAAAAAAGCCAGAAGTGGCACTGTGACTAAAGTGGTAGAACGCTAGCCTTGGCTGAAGAGCTGAGGGACAGCGCCCAGGCCCAGAGTTCAGGCCCCATGACCGGATCCAAAAAATAAAATAAAAATCAGTCTATGTGTATCTTTAGTCTTTTGACATATAGAATCTTCAATAGACTGTGATTTGATGAAGACAAATTTTTGTTTTTCTGTCAGTGCCAGGTTTTGAATTCAGAGCCTCACACTTGGTGGGCTTGCTTGCTTATGTGGAGCTCTACCACTTGGGCTAGGCCTCCAGATCATTTTTTTGCTGGTTATTTTGGAGATGGTGTCTTATGGACTTGTTCTGCCTGGGCAGGGTTGGAACTACCATCTTCTTTACAGTATTACTTCGGTAGTTTAAGTCTTTCAGTTGTACAACAGAAGTTTCATTGTTACATTTCCACACTTGTCTCTTTTTTTTGGTCTGTCTGTCGTGGGGCTTGAACTCTGGGCCTGGGCGCTGACAGCTCAAGGCTCAAGGCTCATACTCTACTACTTGAGGCACAGCGCCGCTTCTGGCTTTTTCTGCTTATGTGGTGCTGAGGAATAGAACCCAGGGCCTCATGCATGCAAGGCAAGCGCTCTACCACTGAGCCACCTTCCGAGCCCTCCACACTTGCCTTTTATGTGCCCCAATGAACTTCACCTCTCCGTCAATTTCCCCTATTCTAGTTCCCCTTCTTAAAACAGGTTCAGCTGGCTTCATTGTTCTGTTTTCAAACACAGAGTTAAACTATGTGGACCATATGACATTTTGTTTCTATCTTTCAGCTCAAAACATTTTCTAACCACTACCATATTTTATTGATTTGTAGCTTATCTCAAATTGTGTTGCTTAACTTCTGAACACTGGTAAGTCTTCTTAATTTTTTTTTCAATTCTAATTTGATTTCACTGAAATCAAGACAATTACATCTTTGATTTTAGTATATGTGAATAAGTATTTACTTTATGAACCTGAATGTGCTATATGAAATTTGAAAGGAATGTGTTTCCTTCTAAACTGTTAGATTGGATTAGATTATTCATTCCATAAATGTGAGGTTACCTTGATTAATAGTTCAGATATACTAACTGTTTTGATTTGGACATTCATTGCCCCACCCAGAGTGGTACAAACTAGGGATAGAGCCTTGCGGAAGAAAGTAGGTCTTGCATCTGAAGATTATATCTGATCCTTGTTACTCTCTTCCCTCTTTCACCAACCTGTTTCCTGGATGCCATATGGTAAACAGTTCTGCTCCACCATATCCTTCCACCATGATGCTCTGCCTCACATAGGCACAGAATTCACAGTGCTAGCTCACTATGCACTGAAACCTCTCAAACTGTGAGCCAAAATAAAATCCTTCCTTTTTTTTTTTGTCATGGAGCTTAAACTCAGGGCCTGAGCACTGTTCCTGAGCTCTTTTGCTCACTCTACCATTTTGAGTCACAGCCCTACTTACAGTTTTTGAGTGGTTAATTGGAGGTAAGAGTCTCATACTTTCCTGCCTGGGCCGGCTCCAAACCACAGTCCTCAGATCTCAGCCTCCTGAGTAGTTAGGGTTACAAGCATGAGTCATTGTTGCCTGGCATTATTTCTTTTATATAGCTCGAAGCAATGCTATAAGATACATACAATTTTAGAATTTTAAAAAGATCTTCCTATAAAATTGACCATTTTATTGTAAAACGTCCCTCTTTACTAAAATTATTTGCTTCAGTGTCCATTTTCTCATGATGAGAAAACAGTTCTTGAAGTCTTATGGCATTTGGATAAACTACTACATGTGCCAGGATGCAGAGATGTCTGAGCCCTACTCAATTCCAATAAGCCCAATAATTCCACTGATCTTCCACTGTCCCACCTTAACTAGGATGAGCCAACCAGAAGCAGTCCTTCCCAGCATCAAATATCCCACCAGCAAATTCCTGTCATCTTATCCTGAATATGCTTATCAGCTTTATTATACTTAGTCCCTCCTTCCCTCAGCTCTTCAGCTCAAGGCTAGTGCTCAACCATTTGAGTCACAGCACAACTTCCACCTTTTTTTTTTTTTCTTCTGCTTATGTGGTGCTGAGAATTGAACCCAGGGCCTTATGCATGCAAGGCAAGCATTCTACCACTGAGCCACCTTCCCAGCCTGTTAAGAGTCTTCTTATAGTGAGCCTGCTCACTCAGAGATTTTCCTAACTTGGCAAATTTGCCAAGTCCCTTAATGAGTAATGAATGAACTTTTAAAATTACTTGTGGTCATGGGCTCTCTTGTGCTGTGGTACCTAATAGTTCTGCCTCAGAGTGGAGGGAGGCAGAGCAGCAGGAAACCAAATCTGATTCTTTCTTTTCTGTCGGTCCTGGGGCCTGAACTCTGGGCCTGAGCACTGTCCCTCAGCTCTTCAGCCCAAGGCTAGTGCTCTACTACTTGAGTCACAGTGCCACTTCCAGCTTTTTCTGTTTATGTGGTGCTGAGGAATCGAACTCAGGGCCTCATACATGCGAGGCAAGCGCTCTACCACTGAGCCACCTTCCCAGCCCCTAATTCTAATGTTCTAGTTTTTAGTGTATCAACTTTTTTTTGAAAAGTGGTTACATGTCACATGTGTGTGGGGTTTTAATAGGTCCATGTCTCATAAACATCACATAGCTTGTTAAGCCTTTTTAAGTTTAGTTTGCTTTTTAAAATGTAAGTGAACATCTGACTCTTGAATTACTCTAACTTACTGATTTTAAATCTAACCTTTTGCTATTAGCTTATTTACTTTGAAAGTATGAGGGCTAAGGGACATAGATGAAGTGTTTAGTGTCTGCCTAACAAGCTCAAGGTTCTGAGTTCAAACTCCAGTACTACTAAGAATAAAATAATAGGAAAATTGTGTGGCTCAAATACTTACCGGATTTGATACATTAATTACATATTTGTTATTCCTGTTTATCTTCTAAATTAACATTGGGTTTTACCTTATTATTCTTTTGCTGGTTATCCTGAAAATTATGATAAATAACTTTGACTATACAAGCTACTTCCTAATTTTTCCAACTTTTCAGCAATGAAATATTCTGAAGCACACTTTACACTTTCACTTTGTGCTATCGACTTGTACCTTCTACATATTCATAAAGCTTATTAGACATAATTTTTATTTACTTATGGTTGTTCTGGGTTTGAGCTCAAGGCTTTAAGCTTGCTAGGTAGATGCTCTCCCATTTGAACCACACTGCTAGTCCTAGTTTGGCAAAATTTAATGGCTGCTTAAAAATAATACTTTAAGATTAAATTAGCACATACAATAACCAGAAGAAGCAGAATTTACAATGCAAAAATGCAATGTTTATTTTCTTAAATAAAATACTATATTCATATCTATACAAATAATTATTACAACCATTAAAATGTTACATTTAACAATAAAAATTTCAAAACTTTAAACAAGAGCATGGTTTGGAATATTCACACCCTAATACAATGCATTTGTAAAAAGATGTCAAAATAAACAGGACCTATTCTTATTTACAACTGTAGTACAATTCTGATCATAGTATACACGTCTGCTCTGGATTTTTATTACAAAACAGATTTGTTTCCATTAGAATTATAAACCAGGTCATTTACAGTAATAGTTCTGAGAGACAGCAGACACTGCTGGCTTGGTAATAAGATACAAATATTACACTATTGAAGCATTAAAATTAGTTTTAGGTTTTCCTGGTGAGTGCTCTACAGTAAGATTCTCACCCAGTGTGTCCATAAATAATTTCTGAAGATAATTATGTTCAGATTTTTTTTTTACCAAAATGAAAATAGATATATACTTATATAACCTGCTGAAAGTGGAAGAATCTTTCTTCACAGTAACAACTGCAGCATCTTAAGCAACACTGTCTGGTCCCTTTCTTCTTGGAAGATCAACAGTTCAACTCCCCATAAAGTTTACCACTATTGTCAAGTCCAGCCTCAGTGAGCTCACAGGTGAAACTGACTTTAAGACCTCAAGGGTGGGAGGGCAGAGAGGCCCTACAAAAGTGAAGAAGGGATTTCAATAGATTAAACTTTAAGTTCCTATGACACAGTTATATGTGCAGCTGTGAGACAAAAAAAAAAGAAAGAACATCTCTGTAAAAAATGTTACATTACAAATGAAGTTTCTACTTCTCATACAAGTTTAGAGATTATTCAGTCTCCAAAATAACACCAATTTGCATCTTATATCCAACATTTTTAACCTGTATTCATGTTTAGGAAGTATCTGACCACAGACTCGTGACAGGAAGATTACAGTTGAGTTTATGCAAATCTAAAAATCAGGATGCCGATCCTCACACACAAGTTGTGTATAAAAGCAATTTGGCTACTAACTAGCAAGTTGTTTGTTTTTTTAAAGATGGCTCAGAGCATGATAAGGCAACAGTGAGAAAAACCAGCTCTCCTACTTGTCTCCTACAAGGTGTTTGCTGACCCAGCAGGTACCATCCCAGCTGGCCTTTTGCTTTCACAGGGGAATGGGTGAGTGATATGTTCCAGTATCTGGTGTAAGGACCAGAGGCACAGTTCCAGGTTAAAGTGCAGTACCAGGGCAGAGGCATAGGGACAGAACTAGAAGCTGGATGTTGAACAATGTCAACACTTTCTTCCAGCATATCTAGACTGCCTAAGTATAAACATGATTCCACACGCTAGTAGAAACCAACACAGGAAGAGGAGAATGCAGAGTTAAGTCAAAATAAAATGACCAATGTTTTATAGAACTTTGGGGAAGGAAAAACAGTAACATTCAGTCAAAAAGACATTTGGAGAAGTTAATTTCTGTCTTGAATTTGCATGTATGTTATCTGAAAATCATTGCTCAGAAATGGACTCCACAACAGCTTTTCTGGCTGATGCCTTCTAATGTACACAGCTGTAGACAAAGGCAGCACTTATCTGGATGACAGAATCACAATGACTCTCAAGTTCCCAAGAACACTGGCCCAAAGCCATTTCATGTTGTTGCCACTTTCACCTGCCCTTTCTTCATTGTACCCTGGGAAAAAAACGAGTCCACCAAACCAAGGAACACAGCCATTTGGCACACTAAAATACTAAACCAAGTTTGCATTAATGTTGTTTGGAGAAACTATTGTCACCCCTTAAGAGCATAGGAGACACAGCAGTCCCCGAAGCCAGGAACTGAGAATCGCCTGCACACACTGACCTAGTAGATGGTTGTCCCCCAATACACGCTTCCAGGCAAAGGAGCAATTATCCTGCTAAGCACATGCGCAGACTCCCTGTGACAGCATGAAATGGAGTTGCTGTGAGAAAATAAGAGCCTAGGTCCCTGTGCATCAAAGGAAAGATAAAGCTGAGAAGCATGTTAGTAAGTCTTGACCCTTTCTTAGAACTGCAAATTTTACTTCCATTAAGGTGAGTCCACATTCTTCTAAGTATTAATTTTGGCCTCTCCATGAAATGACTGTTAGAAGGCAAGAACAAGGTAAGTGATGTAGCTTGTAAATGCTTGAATAATTGTGTGCTTTAAGAAGGCTGATTCTTAAACCAGGCACCGGTGGCTTATACCCGTAACCCTAGCTACTCAGGAGGCTGAGATCTGAGGATCACAGTTCAAAGCCAGCCCAGTCAGAAAAGTCCATAAGGCTCTTATCTCTAATAAACTACTCAGGAAAAGCCAGAAGTGGTGTTGTGGCTCAAGTGGTAGAGCACTAGCTGTAAGCACAAAAAGGCTCGGATTCAGCGTCCAGGCCCTGAGTTCAAGTCCCATGACCAGCAAAAAACAAAAACAAAACAAAACAAAAAAGAAGTTTGCTTTTTCAAAGCTGCTTGTCAGTGCAGTTCTTCACAACTCTGTGCTGTTCACTTTCCTTCTCACAGTTCAGACATGTCAGATCTCAGCTATTGTGATCACTGTGGGATTCCTGCATTTTACTTAGGACAATGATGCTATCCCTTACAATCTTATAACAACAACAAAAAAGCTCCTGAAGTGATATAAAACATTTCCAAAGCTATTTATAGTTTAAAAAGTCATACCAAAATGGATTTCTTCTATGATCAACTTGTTCAACAAATGCATTGAAAGTTTACACATGAAGACATTTGAAATTTTGCACTCCATTAAAACTTATTGTTAATGTTGAACCAACCTTTTTCTGTGAATCTACATGATCAATGCTAAAAAAGCAAGAGCAATGATTTAATCAATAACACTTATGACTCGATGTAACTTTGTGTTACAAAATTAATCTTAATGATTTTTAAAAAGTAGAATCAAAAGCCGGGTGCCAGTGGTTCACGCTTGTATTCCTAGCTACTCAAGAGGCTGAGATCTGAGCATCACAGTTCAAAGCCAGCCCAGCTAGGAAAGTCTGTGAAACTCTTATCTCAATAAACCACCAGAAAAACCGAAGTGGCACTGTGGCTCAAGTGGTAGAGCACTCACCTTGAGCTGAAGAGCTGAGGGACAGCGCCCAGGCCCAGAGTTCAAGCCCCACAACCGATAATAAAAAAAAATAATAATAAAGACAAAAGAAAAAAAGAACCAAATGTTAGCAAGCTGAGAATAACACTGCATTTTTTTATAACCAAAACTGACTGCTTGGTTTTTTGTTTTGTTTTTTTGCCATTGCACCAGCAAAAAGTTGAGTCTGGATATCACTAGTTATTACATAGCAATTTCCTCTCCCAAATCATGTTGCTTTAATTATTAAATACTTAAAACAATACTGCTGATAAATACTCATGTTTTTAAATCATTAAGAGCACTAATGGTGTGAAGTTTCAGATTTGGGCCCATACATGAAATAATCTCTAACATGTACATGAATTACATTTATAAGACAATTAGAGCCATAAAAGCCTGATTATTTGCAGATACTACACATCTTTCTTCAGCTGGTCAAATAAGCCTAAGACACAGTCAACATTTAAGTATAGTATTCTTGTGAAAGCACTGAGAAATGCTGTATCCTGACAGTAACAGACTTTGAGAACTTTCAGCTTCTCAACACAAGTGGTGCTGAGCACCTGTAGTCTCCAGTGCCCAGGTCCCCACAATCACAGTAGACTGAGGCAGGAGGGGTGATTAGTTGGACCCAGGAGTTCAAGATTAGTTGGCTACAGAACAAGATTCCAATCATACACACAAAAAAGAAAGAGCTGAGTGCGGGTGGCTCATATCTGTAATCCTAGTTACTTAGGAGGCTGAGATCTGAGGATCTTGGTTTGAAGCCAGCCCAGGCAGAACAGTCTGTAAGACTCTTTAATCACAAAAAAAATCCAGAAGTGGAGCTGGGGCTCAAGTGGTAGATGGCTAATCTTTCAGCAAATAAAGCTAGGAACAGCTGCCCAGGCACTGAGTTCAAGTCCTAGGACCAACCAAAACACACACATACACACACACACACACACACAAAACAAAAGTGAGTTTCTCTCTAGCCTGTTACTTTAGTTCCAACTATACTTGGCAATCCCCAGTCCGTCAGAACTCCCTGACAAATGGATATATATGTGAGACAGAAAGAGAGAAAAGTGGGGCTGGGAAGGTGGCTCAGTGGTAGAGTGCTTGCCACGCATGCATGTGGTCCTGGGTTCGATTCCTCAGCACCACATAAACAGAAAAAGCAGGAAGTGGCGCTGTGGCTCAAGTGGAAGAGTGCTAGCCTTGAGCTGAAAAGCTGAGGGACAGTGCCTAGGCCCAGAGTTCAGGCCCCCCAACCAGCAAAAAAAAAAAAAAAGGAAAGAAAAGTGAGGGAGAATGAATAGTCAAATACTAACTTGCCCATCCAGAAACTGGCAGATCAGACCTTTCAACTGCAAAAATCTGAATGTACAAGCTTCAAGTTCACTTAAATTTCACTTTTTTTGTACACTACATTTGTTGTTGTTGGCTGTGGGGCTTGAACTTTGGGCCTGGGCACTGTCCCTCAGCCCTTAAGCTCAAAGCAAGCACTCTACCACTTGAACCACGGCACCACTTCCGATTTTCTGGTGGTTAATTGGAGATAAGAGTCTCACATACCTGCCCGGGCTGGCTTTGAACCGTGATCCTCAGATCTCAGCCTCCTAAGTAGCTAGGATTGCAGGCTTGAGTCACCAGCACCTGGCTAAAAAGTTTTAAATGCTATGTTTACCCATTTTGTCTTAGTAACCTATTTATGAAATTCTCTTCCCCAAGATAATTTTCAAGGGAGAAAACGCAGCTTTCTCTTCTTGATGCCACCTATTTTTTTTGGCCTTCCTGCTTTGTTGGCAGTTGGAGAGGCACAAACCCCTGGCATTGAGTTTTCACTGACAACTGCGCTGATCAGTCCTTAGGAGGCTTTGAGCTTGAAAGGGGGGAGGGGGAGGGAGGAGAGAAAGCTGGTCCCTGTAATCACTGCTTTAAGAGCTCTTAACAAAACAAACAATATTTATGCATTTCTCCTTCGCATTCCATTTTTACCAGAATATAACAAAGAAGTCATGATTTTACAGACTTAAATCAGAATATAGGTTTTTACAAGTTTTTAAAATTCAACATGTGTTTTAAATTTTATTGATTTCAGTGGGGGGAGGGTAAAAAACCCACCTACTTCAAGGTTGTTTTTTTTTATGATTCTGCAGGTCTCAATTTCCCATTTTCAGATGGTAGGCCTATTATTTTTTCAAATTCATTTATTAATTTTTGACAGACAGAGAAGATTCTATGTATGTATCGTGTACAACATTACTTTGAAGTATATACACACTGTGGAATATTAAGAACTAGTTTTACTTTAAAAATGTCTGTTTTCACATACTCTTACATACTCACATATACTCATAAGGACATATATAAAATTTTTTTTCTAAAGCACCATTTCACACCTATCATGAAAAATAATTCATTTTCTTTTATAACTTTTATGAAGATAATAATGCAATATACAATATCATTTAAAATATAAATATCAGCAAATTAAAACACTGAGAACTTAAAATTCTGTTCAGAAATATTTTAAAAAGCTCACATAAATGTGTAAATTATAAACTTATGATTTACTGAGCAGTCCTAATATTTAAATGAATGGACAAGAATTTCTTTCAGCATTAAATAAAAAGAACACTAAGTCAAAATTCAGTTGAAACTCTAATGGTCAAGTGAACCCATGAACTCCACAAGGTGACTTTTATCCTGATGGCCCAATATACAACACAAGAATAAAATGGAGAACATCTACATACTTTACCTTTTAGCTTTTATATTTTTAAGACTAATTATCTTGAGGAAGACTTTGCATCAGAAGAGCTTGGCACAATAGAGGATAATGTGGCTCCGTACTTTGAAAAACAAGTCGAGTTCAGATAATTGATGAATAATTACAATTAAGAAAGACTCTGCCTAAACCAAACCTTAGAAATGAAAGCTTATTAAATAATTCATTTGTTACTGATTGAGCATTCAATTCAATATCAATTCAACACCTGTCATAAAAATAATTGTGTTTTAAATTTGGCTATTAGCCAACATCTAGTAATAAGCCATTAAGTTGCCTGTATTTTTGGACTGCAACTCAACTACTTCATCTATTTTACATTTATTAATTTAAATTTAAAATCTTAGCCCCATCCTGTCACCCAGCACATGCCAAGATGATCTCCATCAACTTTTACTTGGTTGGTATTTAGGGAATGTAAGCCTATATATCAAACTTGGATGTGTAAATATGCCTCAAAGATTTAAAAAATAAATAAAAACACATCATACATGTAAAAATAAACGAATTATTTTTGGCAACCCAGTATTTGCATTATCTCTGGCTTGACTTCCCTACAATCATAAGTGAACTGAAACAAGATTATACAAAAAGAGACACAGATACAGACACACACATAACTTCTTTCTCAATGGGCAATTGTAATCTCACCCAATCCCTTTACATTGAGTTTATATGTATTTAAACAGCTGAACTGCAATCATGACCTAAAATATGGCTTATGTTGTGGGCAGGTCTATTTGAGGACTGCTTGGAAGAGTCAGAGGCAGAAGAGTTTGCTATTGTAAGCAAAGGTGACATTGCTGAGCCATCAGGAAGAGCTGCTGCTATTTCTGGAAACAAAGATGTCATGTTAAAATTGGATAAGTGAGAGTTGGTCATGTGCATTGGGGGCATATCTGGGAGGAGAGGAAAACTTGGTTGGGCAAAGCCAACGGGTCTAGGAGGAGATAAAATTGATCCAAATCGATTATTTAAACTTCCGCTGTTTACTTTCTCTGTGCTAGGATTGGGGAACATTTGATTAGGAAAATAGGGGATTGAAATATCATTGGACAGCGGGGGATGAGCTGGAGAATAGGGGGGATAGAAAGAGGATAAAGTGTTTTGGGGATCTACTGGAATGAGGGCTGGAGTTCGAGTGGCACTAGGCTGAGTGACCTGTGGAATGAAAGAGGAATTAGCATTTATTGGTGGATTCATGCTGCCCTCCGGAATAAAGGGAAAACCAAAATTTTGTGATAGTGTATGTTGATCAGGACCTGAATTATCATTAGGTACTTGGGGACTGTCAGGCATGAAACGAACAATACTTCCTCTCTTCTCTGTAGTAGGTTGTTGACGTCCAAGAATCATACTGCCACTAGTAGAGAGAGGAAGATGGGGAAGACTTGGATCAAAGACATTACTATGCCTTTGGTTTCCAGAACGATTCCTTTCAGGAGGACGAATTTTGGATCCGTTGCTGTCTTGCAGGGGATGTCTTGATCTCTGGGGAACTGAAGAATTAGCCTGCCGCAGAGGAGGCCCCGAGTCAGCACTTCCATGAGATACAGCTGGGTGTGGCAAAGCTGGCCTTGCAACCCCATGCATGTTGGTGGTGACAGGTGGGTTCATGTGGCCCTTGGTTCCATGGCTGTCAGTAATCCTCATAGGATTGGACTTCTGTACAGAGACATTGGGACTTGTGTTTCGACCTTGAATCTCTCCTGAGGAAGAGGAACTTGAAAAAGGAATACTCAAGGTGCCATTCCTGGTGTTCATAGCACCTAAAGACATGTCACAACTTTCCCTATTCTGACTCTCACTCTCTCTTCTAATGTGGACACTTTCATGAGCCGGAGGACAGTTATATTCAATTGCGGAGGATGGACCACATTGTGTATTTCTTGGGTGATCTGAGAGTGATCTCTGGCTTCCAATGATCTGATCACTCAGGTGAGGAGCAAGCAAACTCTGCATGAAACTCTGGTGACATGGATTTTCACTGTCCCTTGGTGGAAGGGCATTTCCTGGAGGGATGCTCTGAACTGGCGGATAAGGTAATCTCTTTTGCCGGTCAATTGGTGGTGGGCCAGTGTTCTGACTAATTCGAAAAGCTTGGGATTGCATACTCCTCAGTGATGATACAGGATTACCAATTTCATTGTTTCTTGAAGACTGTACTTCAAAATTACTCTGGGGCTGCTGACTGGCTCCACTTGGTTTAAATGTCTGACATTCAGAAAGGCGGATATCTGAGGCGACAGGGTGGTCCATGCGACCCTGCATATTATGAATAGCTAAACTCTTATTTCTGGGAACATCAAGATAGCTTCTCATTTCAAGCTGATCTGAAACTCTGGAGCCTTGAATTGATATACCCATCCTCTGCTCAGAATTAGAAGATGTCTTTCCAATGAGAGCCTCGGCAGAATAACTTGAAACTCGATTTCTCTCGGGCCTGTGTGGAGTACAGGTCATATCTGAAGGTCTGGTCACAATACTTGGTTGGGACACCATTTGCTGTTCCAAGCCCCTTGATGGCAAAAGTCTTTGCATTGGATTATGCCCAGATACATGGTCAGAGGAAACCCCAGTACCTTGTTGTCTGTTTCCAACATCCTGCTGCTGATGCATAATGTCTTGATTGAGGTGGTTCTGGGGATGGCCATGGTGGTTCCGGCTAGTAGAAGGGTTTTCACAGCTCTTCTCTGGCTGGGAATTTCCAAAATGTTGCTGCATCTGTTGCTGTAACTGCTGATGGTGAGGATGTGGCTGACCACTCTTGGGTCTGGATTGCTCTGTTCCGTGGTGCTTTGGTTGTAAGGAAAGCTGAGAGGCCTGAGTGCCCTGAACAAGATTCCTCTTTTTCTGCATCTGAACTTCCTGCTGCAGAGTTCTCTGTTGGTGCACACTGTGGGGCTGAGAGTGGACAGCACTCTCAGCATGAGGCACATGATGCTGTAGTTGATATAAATGATGTCTCTCTCTTAACTGCCCTGCTTGCTGCTGCTGCTGCTGCTGCTGCTTTATGTACAGATGGTTACTGTGAAGGTGAGAGACTCCTTGAGCAGGAACATGCTGCTGGAGGGACTGGAGGTGTTGATTTGTCTGAGTTTGCTGCTGCTGCTCAGCAACCGAAGGCTGAGAACCACACTGAACTTCACTTTGCCTCAGAGTAGGAGCCACAAAGTTGTTACCAGGTGGAAATAATCTTTTAAGGCCATCTCCATGTGCTGGATTGCTGACGGGCACAACTGAATTTGAAGTGTTGGGAGGGATCTGACTAACCATCATTTGAGTCTGATCAGAAATACTGTCTGGAGTCCGGCTCATGAGGGGCATGTTTTCAAGCCTGAGGGGCACTGGCTGGCAATGTTTTTGACGTTTGGCTGAAGACAGCAGAAGGTCCTCTTGGACAGTGCGCTTCGCAGAATCTTTACGGCTTTCGTGACTTGGTTTCAAAAGGGGCTCTTGAGTCTGTGAATTTGGGATGGTGGTAGTCATAGTACTCAGTTGTTCCTGGGAATATTCTGTTATCAGAGAAGGTCCAGGAGGCTGGCCTCCATAGGAGCTGGATGAAACTGCTGGATTAACTGTTACAGGAATAGGGGCTTGTTCCGAAGTTTGGGCCAAACCTGAACAGCTAACTAGAGGATGGTTGATGTTGCTCTGATGGATAAGATTATTCACACTTAAGCTGGTGAGACTTGGCGGTTGGGAAGCTGAGACTGGTAAGGAGGCATTAGAAGTTTTAATTCCTACAGAGCAGCTTGGTTTTTCAAGGGGTCTATCCACTGTTACCTCAATTGAATCCTGAGAGTTAAATTCATTTGGTGTTGCTTCTGTCTCTCCTGTGTCATTCTCTCTAGGCATATGTGATTTGAAAGGCTGGTCTCCCTCCAAAGATGACGTTTCAGAAGGCTTTGAAGTAACTTCCCTTATATCAGCCTGGATACCAACTCTTCCCTTCTCAATGTTCTCCTGGTCAAAAATAGCTCTTGCTGCCAGAGCTACGATATCAGTTTGCTCTGCGAAGGTACAGCTTTCACATGTGTTCGTTGTTGCACTGGTTACATCTTCTCTAGCTGGTTCAGGAAGCATGGATGCAACTGAGAAACTACGACTACTGCCAGAGCTGGTTGACATGGGAGAGTCAGCCTGCCTACTGCTGAGCAAAGAACCATTAATAACCTCTTGATCAGGGAGGCAGGGATGGTGCTGTGGGGGATCTCGATCATCGCTGTTCATCAGTAATAGTTCCTGTTTGGACTGTGAGTCAACACTGGGATCAACTATCTTAGAATTTTCTGATGAAAAGTCAGAATGATCCATCTGGTCTGAAAGAGAGGACTTCTGAGGGTTCTTTTCTTTAGCAAGATCAGACAGCAATGTAGTTAGACCCTGCCCCTTGAAGAGACTTGCTGTTTGCACTGTATCTGGTGACTCCTGGTGGGCTGAGCAAGGTTCTGTGAGGATTTCTACCTCAGAAACACACTCAGTACTTGTAATGCTTGAGGTGGATGACAAACCAGCAACCTGAGAAACTAAACTCTGGGGATTAGTTGGAGATGGGATTGGCACACTGGCTGAAGTGCAGGACTTGGTAGCATCTAACAGTGCAACACTAATTGGTGTTTTATCCTGAGATGTCTCTCGTTGCAAAGTGAGGGTAGAGTCTTTGGATTTTGCTGGGGCCACAGCAAAATGTTCACTAGTTTCAGATTCTCGGGAGGGTGAGCTAGACTCCTCTGCTGACTTGGATTTGGAGACAGACTCAGGAATGACTTCAGAATTGAGACCGTTCAAGGAATGTGAAGCAGAAATACTTCCAGTATTTGTCTGGGACATAGTGACAGATGGTAGGACAACAGGGAGGCTTTCCAGCAGCCCATCACTAGATGATGGTTCTCCAGGGCCTTCAGTACTGGGGCAGTCTAACTTGCCCACATCTCTGCCTGGATTCGAGAGACATGGCAGCTTGTTAGCTGCTGTGTGTTTCTTGGCCCCTGGCTTCTTACTCAATTTCTTTGACTTCGTGGCAGGTGGTGGTAAACATGTGAGAGCGTTCATGGAGGAAGCAGTCACAAGACTATAAGTATTAGATAGTGAAGCTGAATTCTCTGTGGTCAAGGGAGGAGCTATAGTTGTTGTTAAAGAAACACAGTTAGCTGGGGTGGTTTGATTATTTGCAGCAGTTTGAAGATTGGCAGGCTGGCTAATAGACAGTTGTACACAGCTTTGACCAGCCATCTGTGATATACTTTGATTGAGGCTGGCCAAAGCACCAAATGTATTCAGGGCAACGTTAGTATTTGGATCTTCGCTGGTGGTGGGTTGAATAATTTGCATAGGGGTTTGGTTCGTGGTTCCCGATGAAGACAGCACAGGCTGCAAAGCAAAGAGCTGTCCATTTAAAGAAATGGTTTGAGGCTGTTGCTGGTTTGACACAGTAACAGAAAAAGTCTGTGTTGAATTAGATGTAGATAAAGATGAAGGTCTTGGTAGTATGTGAACAAGATGTTTTCCTCCAAAAGTCTGGGGGGTTGAAACATTTTGCACTGAATTATGAGACCCTATTAGAGCACTGGCTCCATTGACAGGCAGTCGAACAGAAGCAGTAGGGGGAGCAGAGAGCAGTGGCAAGGGATTCTGATTGGCTGCCTGTATGATGACAATCTGTTGACCTACAGTTTGATTGGGAACTTCTGCCCTCATCACTGTTGGGCATGGGGTCGTGCTGGGTGGCTGAAGAATGATCACATTTTGGTTTGCTGGAGCTGCATTGACAGCTGACCCAACTGGCTGAGCCATCTGAATCACTTGCATTGCTGAATTGAGTGGAAGGATATTTTTTGGAGGCTGAGATTTCATTTGTGGTTGGGCAACCAATGGCTGCGTAGGTAAAGATAAACAAGAAGACGAGGTTACAACTGCTTGCTCAACTGGCTGCCCATCTGCTGGAAGGGAATTATTTAAGTTGATGCCTGTAGTCACATGTCTACTGTGATTGCTTGTGGGAGGGCTGGTACCAAGCTCATTTAATACTGGAGACACAGTAGAAGATGGTGTCTGGCTTAAGGGCTGAATAGTATTTCCTGCCAGTTGTAAAGTAGTCCATGTTGTTTGTGTGTTTCCAGCTGACGAAATTCGAGTAAGGCTGTTACTAATGTTTTTCAAATCTGAAGCGCTAACACTTGAAGAAGGCAAAGAACAAGAAAGAGTCCAACCATTGTCCAAAGAATTTGTAGCAAGAGTACTTACTGCAGTGGTGGTCTTCCTGACTCCAGGGGCAGATGGTGCTACCACAGTAATGGTGGTATTTGCCGAGTCTGTGCTCTTGCTAATAATGCTCACTGAAGAAGCATCACCTGCAGACCTCAGAGGCTGGGAGCTGACCGTGGAAGTCACTGCAGCAACCAAGGGATTTTGAAAATCACCTCTTAAGTCCTGGCAGGACTTGGGGCCCTGGTGCGCTTGCACTTTCATGGCGGTTGCTGAGGAACTCTGGGGAATGCTTGTAACGCAAGGGGCTGTTTTCTTTAGCAATTTGGGGCTCTCTTGCCCACTGTTATTTTCTGAAGTGTTTTGATCATTTACACATGTCTGCAAGGAACGAAGCTGGTGAGGTTCAGGCCCCACCGACACAGCAATCAGTGAGCCAGCAGTGGCACTAAGCACACGTGATTCACTTTCAGAAGTGGAAAGCTCAAGAATATTTTGAGTGGAAATGGTAGCAGGAAGACAAAGAGGAACAGACTGATTGGCAGCCAATGAAGAAACTGTAGTCTGATGCCATGGCTTGTTTTCAGAAGGGTAAACTCCAGAAATAGACACAGGAGTCACAAGATTGCAAGTCCTCTGTACTGGCACCACATTGGCAGTCTGCTTTTGTAAATTATGACCAACGTTAAAGGTTATCCCCTGAACAGCTGTTCCCTGGCTGTTTGAACCAGGCTGACTCCCATTGGAATAAACGATGATATTTTTTTGAAGCTGGTCAGTTGGAATAACAACAGACACCTTTGAGTTTTTAAGATTTCCTTTCCAGTGGATTGTGGGGTCATCATATAAGCATATGTCATTTGCTTTCAGCAACTCAATGTATCGGCCATTTTCTTTTTGGATTTCTTCCAGTTGTTTTCGTAGCTTTTTTATTTCTTCAGCTATAATATTAGAAATAAAATTCAAGAACACTAGTGAATATCAGTATTTATAATACCAAGAAAGAACAATGTACTAAGCTACTGAATTCGAATCCTAGCATTTAAAATATCTCAACTGAGATTTGACCTTGTTAATGTAAGTTTTTTCTTCTTTTTAAAATAAAAGCCCCTATCCCATTCATTTTTTTAATCTTCAAAGGTCAACCAACTATAAAAAAAATCATTCATAATGGTACAGATTTCACAGTTCTCCATTCCAAACTTTCTAGTAGTGAAGCTGCATAAGGGAAGCAAGAGAAGGCATACTGATTTCAGAAAATCACACGGAATATATAATATATTCAAATGCTACAAAAGTTTACATGATTTGGGGCTCTTTTTACAATTGTCTTAGTTTCTATTCTACCCTTTGAAACAATTGAGGCTAACAGGAGTGAAAATGTATCAAAAGTCAAGTGATAGAACACTGAAGAGAAAGAGCATCAGCACTGGGACTTTTGTTTCCAGTGGTAAATCCAAGTCACTGCTGAGCAGTGAAGGTGTCTAACATATCCCTCCCCTTTCTAAGGGAGACAGCTTCACTACCGGTCCTACTATGGGGCAGGTTTGACTGCTGGCATTTATGTTCAGGAACCCTAAACATTCCCAGATGCCTTCCCACGGCATTAGGAATTCTTAGCTCTGCCCCACCTAACCCAACTAATCCTACCTTTAAGAGGTAGCTTGAAATGTAAAGCTCCATTTCAATAAGGGTGAGTGGAGACTAACATGATTTTTTCAAATATTTAAACTATGAAGCAAAATAAAGATGCCAGCATGCCATGAATATGAGAAATTATAAGGCAACTAGCAGGCACTAAATAATAATCCTCAATGTTCTCACTTACTGTACATTTGTAGCCTGGCAGTCTTTGTACATTGTCTAATTTAATAACAGTAGCAACAATGGTAACAGCTAACTGTATCAAGCATTCATAGGAAATGTTTATGCCTCTTTCTGGCCTTCTCACACCTTTTGTGGAATACTTCTCAATGTTTCTCAAACACTATTCGATATATCTGATAACATCACACACAAGGGCCTGGACCATAAAAAGGCAGCTGCCCTAGGAAAGGGTTAGCTGTTAGTTAGCTAAAAGTTGAAGAAAAAAAAAAAAAGCATTCTGATCATTGACCTCTTGGACAGGCTTCCCAACATGCTTCCCACCCATTACAATAAACTGTCCCTACCTCAGCAAATTCTGCCTTGCTTTTCTCATTCTAACATGGCCTACTAAACTGTCATAGGAAATTCTCTTTCAGTTGTCAGAGCCAGAAATAAAGCTTTATTCAAACTGGCCTATTACCCCACTTTTACAGTTGTCGGGGACATTTTTTTCTTTTTAGCCTCTCTCCAATGCTAGTAGGAAAACAACTCACTCGACAGCATAAAAAAATTACAACCAAAAGTCAAATATCCAGTCATTTTTGTGGACACACTGTATATTATGGACTACCTACAAGAACCAACTGGAATAAAGGAGTTCTAGTACTAGTATCATGAGTCAGGCAAACATGAGTCCAAAACCAAAATGATACATGCATGCAAGATTACAGTTAATCTAAATGAGAGAGAGAAGAGTTAAACTAAAATGATTTTATTTGCAATAGGATTCTCCCATACCCTATATGAAGGCCTTAATATTTTTTGAGGGATAGCGAAGGCTTCAATACTCTAAAATAAGCTTCACTATACACTAACACCTAAGAATCTAACAAATAACAAAAGAGCTAAGAATCTCCAATCATTACCTTGTTCATTATTTCCTCCATTAAGCAAGAGTTCATCATTTTGCCTTTTCAATTCTGTTATATATTTAAAGGCTTGGTCCAGGATCATATTCTTGCTCTGCCAAAGAAAATTAACCACTTAAAAGTTTCACTAAAAGGTAATTAATTTTCTGGGAGAAACTTAAAAGCTTTGACTTTATTACATATATGTGCTATGTAACTTTTCAAAATTTATAATGGGTACCATATCCAAAGCTTTTACTGTTTCCATTTATTAAATATTTATTGAGGATATAGTTTGTGTTAAGCTCTCAGAATATCTGGAGAAGAAAACTGAAAATAAGAAGCGGTACAAGCTGGGCACTGATGGCTCACTCCTGTAATCCTAGCTATTTGGGAAACTGAGATCTGAGGATCATGGTTTGAAGCCATCCTGGACAGGAAAGTCTGTGAGACTTTTTTTTTTTCTTTTTTTTCGGTTGTGGAGCTTGAACTCTGGGACTGGATGCTGTCCCTCAGCTCTTCAGCTCAAGGCGAGAGCTCTACTACTTAAGCCACAGCCCCACTTCTGGTTTTCTGGCAGTTTATTGAAGCTAAGAGTCTTACAGACTTTCCTGCCTGGGTTGGCTTTGAACCGTGATCCTCAGATCTCAGCCTCCTGAATAGCTAGGATGACAGGCATGAACCACCAGTGCCCAGCTGTGAAACTATTTCCAATTAACCATCAAAAAAATAGAATGTTACCCTTGAGTAAAAAAAAGCTCACGGACAGTGCCCAGGCTCTGAGTTCAAGTCCCAGGACTGGAGTGCGCGCGCGTGCGCGCGCGCGCGCACACACACACACACACACACACACAGAGAGAGAGAGAGAGAGAGAGAGAGAGAGAGAGAGAGAGAGAAAAGAAAAGGTAGTATGGATAGCTAGCTAGAGAAAGAGGTCCAGACCAAGAAGTCATAAAGCAAAGATTCTTAGGCAGGGATGGGCTTGGCATGCTTAAGGATGGCCAGTAGGTGAACAGGGCCAAGTTGATCTACATGAGGAGTGATGTAAAAAAGAAGTCAGAGAGGATCTTCAACACCATGTAAACATAGATTGTAATATCATTCTCTATTCTTTTAACCACAACAATAAATTATTCTAAATAATATGCTTAAAAACCATTTTACTTGGCTGAACTTTGCTGTGATATTCCCAACTTAGTTCGCTTTTCCAAAAGACTGGATTTTATGTCAAAATATTCTTTTGTTCTTAATAAATTTTTTTGGCAGTATCAGAATTTGAACTCAGTGTCATGTGCTTGCTGGGCTTCTTTACTCAGATGGCACTCCCACCCTGTTTTGGGCTGGTTATTTTGGAGATGGAGTTTCACCAATTTTTCTCTCTGGGCAAGCTCTTACCAGTAACCTCCCAATCTCAAACTTTTTGTTGTTGGTGGTGGTGGTTGTGAAGCTTGAACTCAGGGGTTGGGCACGGTCCCTGAGCTTTTCTGCTCAAGGCTAACACTCTACCACTTTGTGCCACAGCACCATTCCCAGTTTTTTGGTGATTAATTGGGAATAATAGTCTCATGGACTTTCTTCCTGTGTAGCTAGGATTATAGACATGTGCCACTAGTGCCTGGCATCAATCTCAACCTCCTGAACAGCTAGGTTACAGGTGTGAATCCTTGGTCTGAAGATACAGGGTAGGGCATCTACAGTTGAGAAGAACAACTGATAAATTTTATAGTTTTTTTTTCCTTGAAAAAAATTAATGACTACAATAAAATATAAACATTGATATACTGATATTGTTGAGTTCTACATACCACCACTAGCACAAAAAACCAAACAGACAAAAAGCAAAACAAGCCAGGTACAGGTGGCTCACTCTGTAATCCTAGCTACTCAGGAGGCTGAGATCTGAGGATCGTGGTTCAAAGCCAGCCCAGGCAGGAAAGTCCATGAGACTCCTATCTTCAATAAACTACTCAGAAAAAGCCAGAAGTGGTGTTGTAGCTCAAATGGTAGAGTGCTAACCTTGAGCACAAAGAGGTTCAGGGACAATGCCCAGGCCTTGAGGTTAAGCCCCAGGAGTCAAGACAAAATAAAACACGAGCATGCTACCTAATCATGCAGTATCTAGACCTCCAACAGACAAGCTTATTTGATCACATTTGAATTCCTGATTTTCAAACACTAAATATTTAAGAAAAACTTAAAAAATTAAGACAAAACATCCAAGCAAAAGAGAAAAAAAAGGAACCAGAAAGTAAACAGAAAATTAAAAGAAAAAACCTATATAACATTCAGCTAGTTGCTAGTGGCTCATACTCGCAAGCCTAACTACTCTTGAGAGTGAGATCTGAGGATCACAGTTGAAAGCCAGCCGAAGCAAGAAAGTCTGAGACTCTTATGTCTAATTAACCACCAAAAACCTGGAAGTGGAGCAGTGGCTCAAGTGGTAGAGTGCTAGCCTTAAGCACAAAGCACATGGAGAGAGTATAGATCCTCAGTTCAAGTCCCAGAACCAGTACAAAGCAAACAAAACAATGCAACAAACACAATACAACACTGAGAGATGAAATGATATTGAATGCACAGAATAAACATATAGAATGAAAGGTAACAATAAGAAATAAACTCTTAGAAATTAAAAATATGAAAGCAGAAATTAAAAACAGAAGCATGGGTAGAAAATAATTGGTTAGTATTGAAAACAGAAGAAAGAATGTTCTAGAAATAGTCTCAAAAGAAAAACAAGGAAAATGGAAAGTATGTGGTACATCTGACCATCTAGAAAACTGTACATGAAGCTTGTTGGAAGTGTGGAAAGAATTAAGGATAAGTACACAGGATATTAAGCAAATGAAAAATTGTAAGGCAATTATTAACTCAAGAATATCAAAAGTTTCATATGAAATAAAACATGAAAGTATCCTCCTTTTAATGTAGTCTACTACACTACATAGTCTTTATAACATAAAATTTGAATTCTGTCTTAATGAAAACTTGTGACAGAATTATGTCAAGAGGATCAAGAAAGTGGAATCTAGAAACAAAACATAATAGGATTTTGATAAATTATAGCTAAAATGGAAAAAACGAAGATATAATGTATTTTATTTAGAAATGTATCTGCTAGAAGAATCAGTTGAGAATGGTTGCCTCTGAAAGCTGCGCTAGGATTGGGAAGCAAGTAAATTAACATCTTTTAAGTTCCTTAGTGTATATTATATGTTAATTATCACACATACTATTTAATTAACATTAATTAACAAAAAAACCCAACTAAGCTAGGAACCAGTGGCTCACATCTGTAATCCCATCTATTTAGAAGGCTGAGTTCTGAAGACCTCCATTTAAAGTCAGCCCAGGTAGAAAATCCCTGTAAGACTCTAATCTCCAATTAACTACTTAATAAATGGAAGTGGCCCCGTGGCTCAAAGTGGTAGAGCACTAGCCTTGAGCAAAAAGAGCTCAGGGACAGCACCCTGAGTTCAAGCCCTACAACCAACAACAACTGAAAAAAGTGGCTAAGCATGTTCATTTCCTATGATAGCTGAACACTACATAACCATTAAAAAGAAGTGAGATAATGTAAGGAACAGTATCTCCACCAGAAGTACACTGTGTGCCACTGAGTCAAAGTGACAAAGCAGATTAGGAATGGTACGGGATATACAGACAGAAGACTTATGAAGAGATGGGTAACAACATTTTATTTGTGGTTATAACTTGGGAGTGGCATGTCTGTTTTTTTAACTAAAAATGTCCAATATATTCCATATTGTTTTAATAATTTGTTTTATTTCCAATGAGCTTAGTTTAATTCATTGTCACTAAGCTGAGATTTTTAAGTATCAAGAGTTAAGAGGACATGGAGATGCTGGATGTAATGCACATGCCTGTTACCCCATGACTCTAGAGACTAGGATAGGAACAGTGTAGTCAGTCTGGAATATTTAGTGAGATCTGGACTCAAAACACAGGCAGGGCATGAACAACAAATTAAACAAGAGATCCTTACAAGATTCTACATAAAGAATTTCAAAAGAGTATAAAAGCATGAATGGCCAATGTTTTTAAAAAATTGCCTAATAAACAGGCTGGGATATATCTAAAGATAATCATGGGACTAACTTAGTAATTAACAACTTGACTAGCTTTAAGGAATATAACTTAAAAGGGACTATGAAATATATGGCTGTTCCAAGAAATTGCTAGAAATATGGGAAAATGTGAATGAATCATGCATACACATGCAGATCAGGTGTGCTGAGGACAAAGCAAGTTCCAATGTATGGGAAAAGGATTAGATATTTGTATCTTCTGAAAGAGTTGTTTTGTACTTTGCTTTCTATTAAAATGCATTTAGTTTCAAAAAATGGGAAAAATTGAAGTTAGGTATATAGAAAACTAAGCTAATAAAGAATAAGGCAATTAGTATCTTCCAAAAACCTTCCATATATGGCAGGAAACAAAAATAATCATTCTATACAGCGTAAACATGTGTAAGAGATGAAACCATGAATCTCCCCTATTCAACTAATGTAAACTAACAAAAAACAATCATCCCAAGCACTGAAACAATTTAGAAAGCAGTCTGTAACCAAGAGAGGAATGAAAATAAAGTGTATTCTTACCTGCTTCAGAGCAGGGGAACATGGGATGAGCTCTCCTATTCTGTTTATCCCAGCATTGATCTTCTTCTTTCTATGCCTCTCCACTGGATAGGAGAAAAAAAATCCATTTCTTAAGTCTTATGCTACTCTGCCAAAATGGTCCATTTGCTCTGGACAAAGAAATTCTACATAAAGAAATCCCTATTAGCGGGGCTCCAGTGGCTCACGCCTGTAATCCTAGCCACTCAGGAGACTGAGATCTGAGGATTGTGGTTCAAAGCCAGCCTGGGCAAGAAAGTCCATGAGATTCTTGTCTCCAATAAACTACTCAGAAAAGGCCAGAAGTGGGGCTGGGAAGGTGGCTCAATGGTAGAGCGCTTGCCTTGCATGCATGAGGCCCTGGGTTCGATTCCTCAGCATCACATAAGCAAAAAGAAAAAAGCCGGAAGTGGCGCTGTGGCTCAAGTGGTAGAGTGCTAGCCTTGAGCTGAAGAGCTGAGGGACAGCGCCCAGGCCCAGAGTTCAGGCCCCACAACCGGACCCCCCCCCCCCAAAAAAAAAAGAAAGAAAGAAAAGAAAAGGCCAGAAGTGGCTCAGTGGCTCAAGTGGTAGAGCACTAGCCTTGGGCTGAAGAGCTGAGGAACAGTGTTCAGGCCAGAGTTCAAGCCCCATGACCGAAAAAAAAATCCCCATAAAAATGTTTTTTACTAATGTTATTTTTAATTTTTTGCCATTTGGGGGGCTTGAACTCAGGGTCTGGGCACTGTCCTTGAGCTTCTTTTGCTTAAGGCTACCTACCACTTTAACACTTGGACCACAGTGCCACTTCCAGCCTTTTCTGTTTATATGGTACAAAGGAATCAAACCCAGGGCTTCAAGCTAGGCAAGCACTCTACCACTAAGCCACATTCCCAGCCCCACTAATGTTATCTTTAAACAGCTACACAGAGGAGATTCAATTCAACATACCAACTTATGACTACAATGCATCTTAATCAGTCATCCCTTCCATCACTCCCCCTCCCTTGAAATGTTGATCAAACATTATCAAACACGGGCTGGGCTGTACAGTTCAGAGGTATAACACATGTACAAGGCTCTGAGTTTGGTTCCCAGCACCACAAAAGCAAACAGCAAACATATTACCTACTGAAGACAAATAACTATAATGTAAGAATATAACATTTTAAGATAAATATTATAAAAACAAATATGCTTTTAGGAATATCATCTATAATAATTATATTAAAATTATAAAAAAAAAAGAGCTGGCACCAGTGGCTCATGCCTGCCTGTAATCCTAGCCACTCAGGAGGCTGAAATCTGAAGATTGTGGTTCAAAGCCAGCCCAGGCAGAAAAGTTCCCCATGAGGCTCTTATCTCCAATTAACCACTCAAAAACCAGAAGAGGTGCTGTGACTTAGCTCTGAGTACAAAGAGGCTTAGGGACAGTGTCCAGGCCCTGAGTTCAAGCCCTTTAACTGAAAAGAAACATGATAAGAAAGAGTTATCAGTACTATTGCATTATTATTAGGCCATCATTTTCTTACCATTCAAATAACTACCAGAGATTTAATGGCAAAAAATTTAAAAGACCCCACGAATCAATTATCAGAAAGCTGCTCTCCGGCCTTCCCTGCGCCACCCGCCCCCCCAAGACTTTTCTTTTTTTTTTCTTTTTTCTTTTTGTCGGTCGTGGGGCTTGAACTCTGGGCCTGGGCGCTGTCCCTCAACTCTTCAGCTCAAGGCGAGCACTCTACCACTTGAGCTACAGCGCCACTTCCGGTTTTCTGGTGGTTTATTGGAGATAGGAGTCTCACGGTCTCTCCTGCCCGGGCTGGCTTTGAACCGCGATCCTCAGATCTCAGCCTCCTGAGTAGATAGGATTACAGGCATGAGCCACCAGCACTCGGCCCCAAGACTTTTCTATACTTATTAAAGAACCATAAACAGGATGTCTACAGAGCTTTTCTGGAACATAAGCAACTGTTATATCTTAAAATAGGGAAGAAAAGGCACTGGTATCATTTTCTTTATGGTTTCTGGGATATTCACTTTGGCCATGCAAACCTTTCTTACTAAGAAATGTGCAACTGACAACTTTTCAGTTGCAAGTACTCTTGGCTATTTTCTGTTAGGAAGCTTTCTAAACCTTTTTTTTTTTTTTTTAAAGGACTCTAGGGATTCTAAGATAATGCTCAGATGGGAAGCTGGCAGAACTTACATAAAAGGGAGGCTTTTTTTTCTTTATGATCTAGCATTAAGGATATCTTTACCAATTATTCTTTCTTAGTAAGTTATGGTAAGGACATATTTATGGTACCAGAGAAAGTTGATTCTAATAAAAAGATTTAGCTCATATGAATAAATAATTAAACTTAATTCAAACATCCAAAAGCCAAAGGCAACAAAATATAATTTACTTTTCCTCTGAAATTTATAACACTATTTGTTTTTATCTAAGCAGAATTGCATTTTTAATGTGTAGAGTTAAACAACAAACAAAACCAAGTTAGGTGTGGTGGCATACAACCCAGTACTTAGGAGTCTAAGGCAAGAGGATCATGAGTCTAAGGCTAGGCTGCTATGCATTGAGACCTTGTACCAAAAAAACTAACACTCCCCCACATCACATTACAACTCCTTAACAATAGTTATAAATGATAGTTGAAAGGCAATAAACTCTTCATTCAAGGAAACAGAAGTGTCCCATCAGTGTTCAAGTCATCTTTCATTTTTCTATAAATAAAATGTTCCCAAGGTTCTTTCCTTAAAGGAAGATACCATAACTGCTAACTTTGTTTTAGTCTCAATGTAGTTCCTGATAAAAAGTACACATAGTTCACTATATATATATGCATGCTTATCTGGATTTGGCCTGTAGTTTCGATTTTAAAGACAAAAATCAGCATTTATTTCCTACATTTCTTTTTCTAATAAAAAAACTGTACTGCTTAAGATTGGTTACATCCAAGTAAGTCCATAGCTCATCTCTCCTTATTTTTCTAGATTCCCTCTGGAATTTACACAGGTATATGACTTTCATTTTTCTGAGAAGAACTGCATCAGGATTTCTTCAGTTGCTGAAATCCCTTCAAATACTAGCTCCAAGAGTACACTAATCTCTTACCCAAATAAAGTACAAATCAAAGTATACAAAGTCATCTCCAAGACACTCGAGAATATTTGTCCATTAAAAACAAACAAAACTATAACAAATAATTACTCTATGCTTATGACATAAAACTTATAATTGCCAGGCACTGGTGGTCACACCAGTAAACCTAGTTATTCAGGAGACTGAGATCTGAGCATTGCAGTTTGAAGGCAGCCCAGGCAGAAAAGTCCATGAGATTTATCTCCAATAAACTACTTAGAAAAAGCTGGAAGTGACTCTGTGGATCAAGTGGTAGAGCACTAGCCTTGAACACAAAGAGGCTCAGGGACAGTACCCAGGCCCTGAGTTCAAGCACCAGGAGAAAGGAAGGAAGAAAAGAAAAGAAAAAGGAAAAGAAAAGGAAAGAAAGGAAGAAAGAAAGAGAGAGAGAGAAAGAGAGGGGGAGGGAGGGAGGGAAAGGAAAGGAAAGAAAGAAAAACGAAAGGAGGGGCTGGGAATATGGCTTAGTGATAGAATGCTTGCCTAGCATGTATGAAGCCCAGAGTTTGATTCCTCAGTAACCCATAAATAGAAAAAGCCAGAGGTGGTGCTGTGGCTCAAATAGTAGAGTGTGTCTTTAGCAAAAGAAGCTCAGGGACAGTGCCCAGGCCCTGAGCTCAAGCCCTAGGACTAGCAAAAAAAAAAAAGAAGAAAGAAGGAAAGAGAGAGAGAGAGAGAAAGAGAGAGAGAAGGGGGGAAGGGAGGAAGAGAGGGAAGGAGGGAGGCAGGCAGGCAGGATCTTATAATCAACTTTAGTATAGTATCATTTTGAAAGCCAAAAATGGTAACAAGGAAAAATTAATTTGTCTACCTGCATTATGTGTCTCCCGGTTCTTCTTCCTGAAACAAACAATAAAAATAGACAAAAAAATAACATAAAGATAATGGAAAAGGATTTTATCAGTTTATATTTTAAGCACCAAAAAAACATCTTCTGATGTTTTTGCATCAGAAGAACCATCTTAAGTCTTTTTATTTTGTTTTGTTTTTGGTGCCAGCACTGGAACTTGAACTCAAAATATCATGGTTTCACTTGTGTTTTCTGCTCAAGGCCAGTGCTCTACCTCTAAGTCACACCTTCAGTACCCAGAATTTTGTTGTTGTTGTTGGTTGTGGGGCTTGAACTCAAGGGCCTGGGCACTATCCTTGAGCTTTTGAACTCAAGGTTAGCACTTTACCACTTTAAGCTATAGCACCATTTCTGGTTTTCTGGTGGTTAATTGGAAATAAGAGTCTCATAGAACTTTCCTGCCTGGCTGGCTTTGAAACTCGTTCCTCAGATCTTGGCCTTCTTAGTAGCTGGGATTATAGGCATGAGCCACTGGTGCCTGGCAAGAATTTTTTTCTTAATACATATCATAGTAGAAAAATCTAATAGCATATATCTTTACATAAATTGAGAAAACCATTTTTTTTTCTAGAAGTAACAGAAATTCTCAATTCTTTGATACCTGGAAATCAAGGGTTGAAAACAGAACCAGTTACTGAAAGTCCATAACTACTGGAGAATATAAATTCTCAAAGTGATGAGCCAGAAAGGTGACTTCTAACATTTGTCCTAACACCCAGGCAGGAAGGAATGCGGGGCAGATAAGCAACAGTAGACAGTAATTTAGTCATTTCAGGGAAGGGGGAGATACATGGTGGCAACAGCACACTTATGCCCTAACAACTGACATTTGAGCCACCTCCTGCATTTGTATTCTTAGCTTATTCAAATTCTTACATTTTCTTAAAATCTCATCCATCAAAAACACTTATTTTTGCATAATTGTCTAATACATTAGCATTCTCTAAGAACTACAGGTAAGAAGTAGTGATTTTTATAATAGTAAAAGCACTAGCCAAGCATGGTGTCAATGGCTCTCACCTATAATCCCAGCTACTCAGGAAACTGAGATCTGAGGGTCACAGTTCAAAACCAGCTTGGGAAGGAAAATCTGTGAGACTCCCATCTCCAATTAACCACCAGAAAACCAGAAGTGGAGCTGGGACTCAAAGTGGTAGAGTGCTAGTCTTGAACACAAAAATTCTGGGACAGCGCCCAGATCCTAAGTCCAAACCCCCTGGCAAGACAAAAAAACAACACTGGTTATCAATTCTAAGCAGAGATTGCCCAAAATACTAGAAATTCAGAAGAGGGGGTTATACAATATATATATATATATATATATATTATATATATATAATAAATATAATACAGTACAGAGAGGCATAATGGCATTAATAAAACTGCAAAGTACTTATTCAAATTGACCATAGCCTAAATGCTTAAATGCTTCACTTATAAGAACAAGCATTGTATGCTAATAAGAATACAACCAGAAACTAAGCATTTAGCACAGTTTTAGTAAACTATTTTAACTACTGATGATTATTCTTATTATTTATGCTTCTGGTATATTAAGGACAGGTAAAATTTAACTATATACCATTTTCAGTAAATTTATTTACATTCAGCCACACATATGTTTGGATATTAACCATTTTCTAGGTATACAAATACAAATTCACTACGGTCTATCTACTAAGAAAAACAAGAAAAAATTCTGCTTCTTACCCACCCAAACTATACTGTCTTTTGGGCTGTGTATACACACCTGTGCTGCTTTCTTGTTGGTGTCTCATGCTCTGTCATCTCTGGCATGGTGATAGTGATAGGAACCTACAGAGTGATGGAAAGATATGATAAAGCTCATTATTCCTGGGCACCGGTGGCTCAGGTCTGTAATCCTAGCTACTCAGGAGGCTGAGATCTGAGGATCACAATTCAAAGCTAGCCCAGGCAGGAAAGTCTGAGTCTGTTATCTCCAATAAATTAATAAAAAAAATCTGTAAGTGGTGCTGTGACTCAAGTGGTAGAGTGCTAGCCTTGAGCAAAAAGAAGCTTAGGCACATATTCAAGCCCCAGGATTAGGAAAAAAAAAAAGCTCAGTTATTCTTGAGTCTTAGAGAACTTGATAAATAGCAGTTCCATTTGAATACCAAAATGCTTTTTAAAATGACATTAAAAAAACAGTAGATCACATGTTGCAGGGTATCTCAGCACAGTGGCTCATGCCTACCATCCAATCTACCTGGGAAATAGACACTGGGGACTGTGGTTTGAGCCTGGACAAAAAAAAAAGTTCTGCGAATCTGTCTCAACCAATAGCCAGAGCAGTGGTGTAGGCCTACCATCTCCTAGGATACAAGGAATCCTAAGTAAGAGAATGGAAGACTAGGAAAGCCAAGAAAACAAAGGACAGGGAGAGAAGAAAAGAGAAAAGGGGAGAAGGGAGGGATGAGAGAGAAGAAAACTAATAGAGAGGAGAGACAAGGAGGGAAGGAGGCAGGCAGGCAGGGAAAGAGAAATAGAGAAAGTAAAAAAAGAGAGGAATAAAAAGAAAAGCAAGAGAAAGAAAGGAAAGAAAGGACAGAGAGAAAGAAAGAAAGACAGACAGAAAGAAAGAAAGAGGGGCTGGGAAGGTGGCTCAGTGGTAGAGTGCTTGCCTTGCATGCCTGAGGCCCTGGGTTCGATTCCTCAGTACCACATAAGCAAAAAAGAAAAAAGCCGGAAGTGGCGCTGTGGCTCAAGTGGTAGAGCGCTAGCCTTGAGCTGAAGAACTGAGGGACAGCGCCCAGGCCCAGAGTTCAAGCCCCATGACTGGACCCAAAAATAAATAAATAAATAAATAAACAAAAAAGTGTCAGCCTTTATCATTAAAAAAGGAAGGAAAGAGAGAGGGAGAGAGGGAGGGAGGCGAGAGGGAGGAAAAGAGAGAAAGAGAGGAAGGAAGAAGAGAAGGAAGAGAGAGAGAGAGGGAGAGAGAGAAAGAGAGAATGAAAGAAAAGACATGGACATAAACATGTATTTGAAGCAAAGGCTTGAAGCATCCAGGATCAGCTTGGATTACGTAGCAAGTCCCAGGGCAGAGTGATTTGTGTAATGAAATCTCAAAGAAAGAAAGGAGAGAAAGAGTTCAGTAAGAAAGGAGGGGGAGAGGGAGCAGGCAGGCAAGCAAGTTGGAGGTCCTGAACTGAAAGCACACAAGAAATAGGTAGGAAGATGGGTAGGTAGGTAGGTAGATGGATGAACAGATGGGACAAACAGGCAGAAAAAGGACAAAATTCATTTTGACTAGTGAATGTAAAACAGATGGATGTCAAATTTGAGGCATAGTCAGAAGCACTTGAACAGACTAGAAAAAGGTCAACATGGGCTTGGAAATCAAGACAAGTTCAAAAGAGAAATGATTTTCAGCGAAACTCGGCAAGACAAGTAGAACATATTTGACTTGACATCATATACTCTGTTTATTACACTGAAGTATTATACAAAATCTAAACTTGTAAAACAATGATGTTCCTCAATAAAAACACAGAACAGAGGAACAAGTGACCATTGCACAAATATAATATTCCATACACAAGCAAGAATTCATTCATTCACTCATTTACTGCTAAAAGTCTCATGTTATCATTTGAGTCATTAAAAAGTGAGCATGAAAATTCTATTAATATTGGAAAATGAGAGCATAAATATCCCAAGGCAAAAGCATTGATGTGTTCATTGTAGTTATGAAAGGTCAGCAATATTATGATTTCTTTCTTCTCTAATTAAAAAATTCATAATGAAAACTTTTATTGCTTTTAAATTCCAGACACTGACAACCTTCGGGAGTACGCCTGCCAGGCTGGGGTGGCTGCTCTACCACACTGGGGCAGGCACAAGCAGGGTCTCCCCTTTTTTCTCTGAGAGAGGTAAGAAGGTAGGAAGGTAGCAAGTATAGAGCCTGAAGTCAGAAAAGAAAGCTGGAATTTAAAATCTGTCAGCTGGGCTGGGAAGGTGGCTCAGTGGTAGAGCGCTTGCCTTGCATGCCTGAAGCCCTGGGTTCGATTCCTCAGCACCACATAAGCAAAAAGAAAAAAGCCGGAAGTGGCGCTGTGGCTCAAGTGGTAGAGCGCTAGCCTTGAGCTGAAGAGCTGAGGGACAGCGCTCAGGCCCAGAGTTCAGGACCCACGACCGGACCCAAAAAATAAATAAATAAATAAATAAATAAATAAATAAAATAAAATCTGTCAGCTTCTGGTGAGTTACCTAACTTCTCAGGACCTCATGTGTCCATCTATATCACTGTATTGATGTGTGAAAGGCAGGAAAGAATGTAGGGAAAGCATAATACTGGAAGGCCTGGCAATTAGGTATAAGTAGTAAGCAGTTATCTCAGTTTCCAGCTCTAGAACGGAGCAGGGAGGGTCCTGGGAAGCCCCCAAAAAGCAAAGAGATGACAGAAAGTACTGACTGAAGCAGCCTACAAAGACATGGGTGGTCAAAACTGACTTCCATCAGCTTATTCCTATTCCACCATCTTCTTATAACTTGTAAAGAAAGGACTGATGGGTACCTATGGGTTAGAAGCAACATACACAAATTAGATAATCACTAAATGATAATGTGGGACAAATAAGTGATACATAAACAATCTGTCACATTTCTCACCCAAGGGCTTGTAGAGTTTCTTCACTTTTGATTCCTGGCTTCCAACACCTCCTGTTTCTGATTCAAATCTATCATCTTCTGCTAGAAGATGGTCTATAGGTTATGTTTTCTTCTTACTACAAAAAAAAAGAGAAAGAAAGAGAGAGAGAAAGAAAAAGAAAGAAAAAAGGAAGGAAGGAAGGAGGGAAGGAAGGAAGGAATAGAAAGAAAGAGAGGGAGGGAGGGAAGGAAGGAAAGGTCAATGAGTGCTTATAGTCACTAGGTGTCCATAAGCAGCATATGGGTCAAGGGCTGGCAACCCATGGCACGCAGATGGATTTTTGCTGGGTTGCAGGATGATCCTGAATTTTCCCCAATACCTGAAAGCAAATGAGTGCAGCTGCTCTCCAAAGTCCTTTTCCAATGGGCTTCCCAGGCTCCATCTAGATAATAAAAATAGAGGTCCTACTGACAGTGGAGGACCCTCAGGAAGAGATTCTCTTCTTGACCCATGGGTTACCTAAAGTCCTCCATATATATGCCTTATGATAAGATCTGTCCTCGATTCTAAAAATTACCTTCCCTCAACTTCCTATCTTCTTCCCTCTTGTAAAGCCTAAGAACTTACTCACAAACATGCCATGAAGACAGTGACATTAGGAAGCCTCAAACCTGTGCATGGTATATGTTTTTAGGGCATTCATCTCAGACTTGACAAATAAGGCTTGAGAGGGCCCAGAAGTTTGTTTGTTGGTTGGTATTAGCATACATTAATTGTACAAAGGGATTTCATTGTGATGTGTGTGTGTGTGTGCAAAAGAATTTTCCAGTGGAATGCTGGTGGCTCACAACTGTAATCCTAGCTACTCAGGAGGTTGAAATCTGAGGATCATGGTTCAAAGCCAGCCCGTGCAGAAAAGTCAAGAGACTCTTATCTCTAATTAACTGCCAGAAAACTAGAAATGGAGCTGTGTCTCAAAGTGGTAGAGTACTAGCCTTGAGCAGAAAAGCTCAGGGACAGCGCCCAGGTCCTGAGTTCAAGCCCCACAGCCAACAAAGAAAAGAAAGAAAGAAAGAAAGAAAGAAAGAAAGAAAGAAAAAAGTATTTTCCCAGAGTCCAGAAAATATAAATAGAAACTTGTGCTGCTGTAGTCCTACTCTTCAGGGATAACCTCTGTAAACATTGTGGCATTTTTTTTTTTAGACCATTCTTTTAAATACTTCTAACAAAGAATTGCTTCATAAGTAAACCTAAAGAAAACTTCAGGTTTTAAGGCTTTTTTAAAAATTCAATTGCAACCAAGCACCAGTGGTTTGCACCTGTAATTCTAGTTACTCAGGAGGATCTAAGGATCAAGATTCAAAACAAACCAGGAAAGACAAATCCAAAAGACCTTTACTTCTAACTAACCAACAAAAATCCAGAGGTTGGAGCCACGACTCAAAAGGTAGCGTGCCAGTCTTGAACAAAAAAGCTAATGGAAAGTGCCTAGGCTCTGAGTTCAAGCCCCAGTACTGGAACCAAAAAAATAAACAAATTAATTAAATAAACAATAAAATAAAATGACACAAATAACTCTTTCCTTTTGAAGAAAATTTTACAAAAAAAGTTACAAAAAAGAAACAAAAATTTAAAACAAAATGGTTGTAGTACAAATACCCCACCACTATTTTAACCATGTGGTGTTATGAATTCCAGATACATTCCAATATGCCCAAGCAATTACCTATGTACATATTTACTATCACACTGAAAGGACATGACACATACAATTCAAATAATATAAAATGCTCTCACTTCCAGTTCTAGTAATTTTTATTCTCCACTGAGAATATAGCAGTACATACAGTTCCTCTGATGTGGCTAATTCCCACACCATGTCTTACACCTTCCGTGCCCCTAACATCTCCTGTCATCTAATACTCTAGTCCTTTCTGCCAAGGCAGCCTTACTCGCCAACAAGGCCTGTGGCAAAAGAGCCCCGACTGACACCTTCTTGACCACTCCATAACTGGTCCACAAAAACACAACTCTTTGATATAGCAACAAATAGTAATGTACCCTTCAAGTACATTCCTATAAGTACAAAAAGACATTTATTCAAGGATAATTATTGCAATACTGTTTGAAGTAGTAGAACACAAGAAAATATCCTAAAATCTTATCAAAAGGAGATTGATTAAATGTCATAGTATTATACTGAATTATCTGAAACAAACCATATTCCACCTTTAAAAAAAATGTTGCCTGTTTGTTTTGCTGTGCTGACAATGGAACTCAAGGCCTTAAAGCTACAAGGCAAGTACTTTACCGCTAAGCTATATTCCTGTCTCGATCTGTCTGTCTCTCTCTTTCTCTCTCTTTGTGCCAGACCTGGGGGGATGACCTCAGGGCCTGGGTACTGTCCCTGAGTTTTTGTGCTCAAGGCTATCCCTCTACCATTGGAACTTGAGCCATAGCTGCACTTCCAGATTTTTGGTGGTTAATTAAAGATGAGAGTCTCATAGACTTTCCTGCCAGGGCTGGCTTAGAACCAAAATCCTCATACCTCAGCCTCCTGAATAGCTCCCAGGAGCTATTGGCTCCTAGTTCTTAAGTCCTTTTTATGTCCCTTGAAACTACAGTTTCAATCTAGTATTTCCATCATACAATATGATGATACCATGTATTTTATCTATCTGTGAGAGAGCCCGATTATACAATCTCCCCACCTTCCACACCTATTCATATACTGAAGTCCTAAACCTGAATTTAGAGACAGGGCTATGCATTGGTGGCTCATGCCTGTAATCCTAGCTACTCAGGAGGCTGAGATCTGAGGATTGAGGTTTGAAGCCAGCCCAAGCAAGAAAATCTGTGTGACTCTTATCTCCAATTAACTACCAAGAGGCCAGAAGTAGAGCTTGCTTCACCTAACCTTCCTAATTATTTTCAACGAGTGGTTAAATCTGTGCCTACAGAACCTGCATATTAAAATTTTAATACGTTTCTCTCCTATGAAAAACTATGGTTCATTTCCCTTCCACTACAAAATTTTTAACATTTTCTGCCACATACCAACTGCCCATCTACCTTTGCCAGGGATTTCTGAATGCTACGTGTACTCATTGCTAATGACCTAACTGTTTCTAGTCCCTCTCTACAGACCTAGCAAATATACTAACCCATATTGACATAATTACCTATTCTCATTTGTGCATCTATCTACATTAAAATAATCATGAGATTATACCTTTATCTTCTGTTCTAAACAAATACTGAGGGCTCAGAATGGTGTTTTTCCTTTACTGATTTGCAGTATTGCTTACTGATAGTGAGAAACCTGGCTTCCAGTACTTCCTGTTACTTTTCCCTGTGATGTGATTCAAAAATGACACACACACCACTTGCAGGGTTCTTTTAAGGATCAATTGGTATTGTTTTAAGGATCAATATGTTCAAGTTCCTTTAGAAAAGCCCAACACAATGTATGTACAGTTGTTTGTTAATAAACAAAGGTCCTTAGTAACTAATACAGGTAACTCTATACACAGTATTTATCATTATAATCATTAATAAGTTTCCTTTGTGGCATAATGGATACTGGCATTAGCTAATTCAAAGTCTTCCTCCTTGATCTCATGTACTTTCCAGTAATGTTTTGTTACTGACTGCCTATGAGTGTCATCTGAATGAAGGAGGTTCACTATAAAGTCACACTCAGCAATGAATCTGACTCTCATCACTTATTAGCACGGCAATAATTCTAACACCTGAATAATTCTTAAGAATCTCCAGAGATTCATTTGCAGGTTTCAGTGGATGTAGTTCCCTTGAGGGCAGGCATTTGAGTGTGTCTCGTTTACTGACATATAGTATTCTAAGTATCTAGAACAATATCAGACACACAGTGGATACCCAAAATTTGTTGACTGAAGGTTAGTGTGTAGAACTTTTTTTTTTTGGTGCTGGCCATGGATCTTGAACTCAGGGCCTGAGCACTATCCCTGAGGTACTTCTTTGTGTTTTTTTTTTTTGTTGTTGGTCATGGGGCTTGAAATCTGGGCATGGATGCTGTCTCTGAGCTGTACAGCTCAAGGCTAGTGCTCTACCACTTGAGCCACAGTGCCCCTTCCGGTGTTTTTCTGTTTATGAGGTACCAAAGAATCAAACCCAGGGCCTCATGCATGCAAGGCAAGCACTCTACTACTGAGCCACCCTGAGCTTCTTTAGTTCAAGGATAACTCTGTATCTGCCTTGTGTGTAAGTGTCTGTGTGTGTGTGTGTGTGTGCGCGTGTGGTAGCAGTTTACTGGAGTTCCAAGTCTCATGGACTTTCCTTAATTGTCTATCTTTAGCTTCCAAACTGTAAAGATTTCCCTCACATTAAACAAAAATTTTCTGCCTCTCATTCCTATTTTGTTCTCCCTGTGAAATTTCTTCTAATCCCAATCCTTTTTAAACCTAGGCAACCAAAAATTTTTTCTTGGAGGCCAGACACTGTTTTGACCAAATCAAGTATCTTTTCTCTGTTGCCAATCTATTTCCAGAAGTATTTAAGGTTGCTTCCTTCTCCCTTTCCTCAAATGCTCTAATCCTCAAATGCTCTAATCCTAAATTATCTTCTTTTTCCATGTTTGCATCCTCTTTCTCTAATATAAAACCTTCTCTTGGGTTGGGAAGGTAGCTCAGTGGTAGAGTGCTTGCCTTGCAAGCATGAGGCCTGGGTTCGATTCCTCAGCACCACATAAGTAGGAAAAAGCCAGAAGTGGCCCTGTGGCTCAAGTGGTAGAGCGCTAGCCTTGAGCTGAAGACCTGAGGGACAGGGCCCAGACCCAGAGTTCAGGCCCCAAGACCAACCAAAAAACCCAAAAAACAAAAAACAAAACCTTCTCTTTTCTTTCTCATTTGAATTTCTAATTTCAATACTCTCTCCCTTTTGCTGTTTATTTTCTGTTAAAAATTTCCCTTTTTTCTGTGTAGAAGCCATTATATATGTATATTCATTTTGATAAATATTAATTTGTATAATCAAAGGCACAGAGGCATTGTGCCTTTGTGTTCCTCCCCTAAGCCATTACCTTTTTATAAAGATACTTTCAGCTTTGATCTTGCTCCACATCTTTGGCTAGGCAAAGCTCTCTTCAGAGTATGTCAT